TGCTTCTGTGTCAGCAGCTTCAAGGCTAACTGGGCAATCAGCAATGAGAGCACAGGTCCCTAGTGGACACACAGGGTTCCCATAGCCCAGCCTGTCCTCTATAAGCTGAGTCCAGGTTGCGGCAGGAGACCATACACATGGCTGATGCTCAGGAATGGGTGTATGGGTGTAGATGTGTGGATGCTGCTGTGCCAAGATCTAAAAACTTTCAAATTAATTTCCGTGTCCACTCAAGCTGTGTCCTGGAGTTTCAAGGCCTAAGTGTCCTCCAGACAGTTCCTGGAGAATCATCCCATCCCATATCTAAGGCAGTGAGGAGACAAAGTCCTGGGGCTCCTACCCACAGTCTTCCCAGGATCCTCTCCCACTGAGGACTTTAGACCCCATGTCTAAACTTGAATGTGTGGTGCCAGGACCTTGAGGGAGTCAGGAGAGGGGGAAGGAGGAGCCTGGACAGGAGTCAGCTCAGAAGGGAAGGGGTGTCATCCTGGGTGAGGCAGTCACAGGTGAGGACAGAACGTCAACATTTTCAGAAGATATTGAAGTTCATTGTATGCTTTATAAAAAGATTCAAATCACTACCAGCAAGTGTGAGATAATAAATCTGAGTGGAACCATGATGTCTTCAAACAAAAGGAAACAGGCAAGGTTGTTAACCAGAGGAATGGTTACAACCAAGGGGAACACAGCAGTGTTATGTGGTTCAAAGTGAGCAGTGGGCAGTGCCCCGGTTTCCAGTTCCTGCAGCCACCCTCTCACTTGCAGGTGGGCAGGTGGGCCCTCACACATCCTGCAGGCCCATGCTATCCCTGGTAGGGATCAAGATGCTCCTGGGTCCCGGCTGGTGCCGCCCTGACCCTCGCAACTGCAGGCTATTCCCAGTAGCATCCAGGCATTTTCTTTCCATACATCAAGGAAGGTGAAGAATGCCTGTAGACAGAGGGAAGAGGAGAGCCAGCATGGAATGGATCTTTTCAGGAAATAGGCTGAAGGAGATGCCAGTTGGATAGGGCTGTTCTATTGCCTGTAGCATCTAGGAATGGGGTAGGTGGCCTACAACCAGCATCCAGAGCATGGCAGAGAACATGAGCTGGCAGATGTCTCTGGACCCAAAGAACACAGTGCTCACCCAGCCTCAGGGCCACGTGGGGAGAGCCCACTCGCAGCTGGCATGGAGTTACTTGGAGACGGAGTCCTAGCCTTCAGGAAGTGGAGAGAGGCTGGAGTGAAGATGGAGGTTGCTCTTCAGGGAGTGCAGAGACACACGGAATGCAGAAGAAGATGCTGCTGAGCTTGTTGGTGGCGACTTACTACCAGGATTTGGACTGAGTGGACTGGGAGGGTTCTGGAAAGGTTGCCAACAGCCTTGGATGCTGAACCGAGGACCTCTCGATTCTGGCAGATGTTACCTGAGAGCCAGGGGCTGCAGGGGAAGCAGATGGGCACGTAGCTGTGCTGGGCAGACATGGTGATACGGGTTCACAGACGAGGGGAACCTTCCTATGGCCACTTGGCATCTGCAGCACAGGCTCCCTGCCTTCCTCGACAGAGAAGGGTGTCTAGGATAGACCATGCCACACTCTCACTTGTCTCCTGTCGTTCTAGTGGTAAACTAGCTCACCTGTACACCTGTATTTATGCAGTGTAAGTATGTGCATGCTTAGATCTGTTTTCATGGGGGATAGATGGAAAACATGTTGCGTAAAAACACAACTTACTTAAAGATGCTTTATTTGCAGAAAGTGTTTGAGACAGAAACTCTAAGCCTTATTGGGGGCAAAGTATAGTTGATACAAGAAATAGCCTCAATACAGATCACATAGCTTGTGTTTATTCAGTCCTCTACAAATATAGAAAGTTGGTTTTGAAAATTATCAGAAGGCTGTTGCTTGAAATAGGAAAACCCTTCAGAGACATTCCTAATAATAATTCATT